TGATTAATGGATACTCAGTGGGATCGATGGGTGCCGATAATTTTTAAAGCACATTAGATGAAACTTATTTGAGTTTACTTAATTTAAAATATTCCTAATACTCCCAATACTTATATACATAAAACATTTTACTTTGGGTGACTAGAATTGCACAATTTGCCCGTCTGTGCGCAAGTTAAACGCCACTCTAACCGCTTTTGAATAACTAAAAGAATTTACTATGTTCATAAAAGTTGCTTCATTTTTATTTATTTTCTGGCATAATTGCTATATCCTGCCAAGTGACAGCCACTAAAACAAACTTTTCAGTTCCTTCTTATGTCAAAGCGCTCGGCAAGCTTCGAACCTACTTCTAGAAAAAAGAAAATATTGCAAATAAGAAAAGACAGAAAGGAGGCACTCTTGCTCGCGCGGCTGTTTTATCGTCCCCAATAAGTTTCTTGTCTGGATCTATTGTCGAGACACTTAACAAGTTTATAATTTTTAAATAGTGGCAACCCTACTCAAAAAGTAATACATTATTGAACATCTAAAAGCCGAGCCCTTTTATTTGACACCTTATTTCTTGTAACAAACAGTGCGGATCTTATAATTTTTTAGACAGGTGGCAACGCTATAGGAATTTAAAGTACTAAAGATAATAAATCTTTGGATACAGATCACACCTAAACAATTTTGTCTAAATCCACTCAGTAGTTTTTGAGAAATATCTCGAGTTTTCTTTATCCTATGTAAGGAAGATAGTAATTTTCTGATTAGGTGGCAACTCTCTTCAAAAAATGAAAGCTTTCCGACATGTGAAGGCTATGCCGCTTCATTTGGTATCCCATTTTGTAATCCAGCGAACGGCGAATATTTTAAATTTTTTAAAAGGTGGCAACCTTAATCAGAAAAATAATACATTATTGCACATGTAGAGGCTAGGTCTTTTCGTTTGACAGTGACGGTGCAGAACTGATGCCTACGCTTATTATGATTGAATATAGTAGCTTTATTAACCGCTGGCAACCCTATTACAAAAAAAAAAACAAAACATTAGTGATTTTCTAGAGGCCAATCCCTTTCATTTAACACCTCATCTTTTGTAATCCAATGAACGTTGCGGATCTACATTTTTTTTAGACCAGTGGCAACCCTATTAAAATTCTAAATACAAAATGTCACTCTCCTATCGAGATCCGTTCAGTAGTTTTCGAGATTACCGCATACGAAGAATCTTGACTTTCCCTTACACTATGTATGATGTGGGCGTTATTACGCCCGTTCTCCAAAACCCCATAATAATGCTACTTATTTTCCAGAGATTGCTGTTAGTATCAATTTTGAGTAAATTAGCGTCCTTAAATTTCGAAATATCGTTATATGAGAAGTGGGCGTAATATTAGTCCGATTTCAATAATTTTTAACGTTTTGCTTTTATGTGGTAAGCAAAATAATCGTACCAAGTAATCGTAACAATTTTTTGCTAAAGAGCTATTGCAGGCATCAAGTTTGAATAAAGAACTGACTGATTTATCGAAGATTTCGTATTTCTCTAAATTACCGTTATATGGGACGTGGGCGTGGTTATTGTCCGATTTTAAACATTTTCAGCCGGCTGGTATGTTGTACCAAGGTTGTTAACAACTTTGCTAAGTTCGGGAGAAATTGGTATAGCGGTTACCAAGATATACACATGTAATCATAAGTGGGCGTGGCTGAGCCCATTTTCCAAAAATTTATAATATTCTTATTTTGCGTCTAAAACCATTTAAATATATGTAAATTTTTAGTGATTAAGCTTCAGTAGTTACTAAATATCGCAGTTTTCGTATTTCTGAAAACTGCCGTTATATGGGAAGTGGGTGCGGTTATGGTCCGATTTCGCCCTTTTTCAATACCAACTTACCTTGGGTAGAGGGCAAACTACATACCAATTTTCGTTGAAATATCTAAATTTTTGATCGAGTCATCGTGTATACGGACAGACAGATCGACGGACAGATCGATTTATCTTTTCATTGTGATCATTTATGTGATACATTTGTCTATATCTATCTCGATTCGTTTTGGTTGATACAAACAACCGTTATGTGAACAAAGTTATAATACACCTGTGCACAAGTGCGCTCGGGTACAAAAAGTAAAAATAACCACTCTTGCTCATATAGCCGTAGTTGCGTATGTAACGTAAACGCCTCGTAGCACAGTAAAAAGTCATCTAACATGTTTACTTGCACGCCTTAACTTAAAAGTCATATTATTTAAAAGTATTTAACAATGAAAAAAATTATTAATTTCGGTACTTTTTCGCCTAAAGGCTTAAACAGACGGCAGCGTTGATCCGGATTAACTCGGACTTAATTCGGATCAACCGCAGTTAACTCCCGAGTTGATCCCGATCAACACTGCCGTCTGTTTATGCTTTAACGTTTTTTCTGCCAAGAGGGGAGTGACAATAAAAAACCACTCGTGAGATTTACTCTTACATGTTCGTCTTTTTAACTTGTTGTTGTACTAATTTTTTGTTGAAACTTTCTATTTGTTAACTTAAAAATTTTCAGCAGTGAACTAGTAGGGATATTTTATTATTATTATTTTTCAAAATTGTCATGAGGTCAACCCAAAATGCCGTAGATGACCATAAAAGCAAATTCAAAGCCGCCATAAAGTCAGTTGACATTATGACCATTTCAAACGGATATAAAGCCCCTTAATTAATGTGGTCATAATGGCAATTTCCAAAATTTTGTCAAATGTAACTGGGTGACTCTGTGCACTTTTATGCTTTATTACTTATGTATGTAATTGTAAAATTTAAAAGTTTTTCGTATTGTTCAAGCAAAAATGAGATAGGCAAATTTGTGTCATTTCATTTTCAATTGAGAAGATATTGTGTACATATGTGTATTAATCAAACAATAGGTTAAGTAACCTAAGAACATCTCAAATTTAAATTATCTAAAAAAATATCACAAATATTCAAGGACATTGAGCACCCAGTATTGGTTGCAGTAGAAAACTGAAAGTTGGTGTAGATATTTCAAATATTAAAAGGAAAAAACTAAGGAGGTGCTCCGTTTTCTAGGATGCAAATTTTTTCCCCCATACAAAAATTGGACCACTTTAATGTACATACAAGCACACCATACAAAAAGAAAGTCTTAGCATCCAAATCAAAAGTAACACCAGCCTGCGGCCATGCAGTACTGCGCTCTTAATCAATCACGCTTGAAATTTCTGCTGACATACATATATACATATGTATAATAGGGTGGTCATTAAAAAAATCAAATGAACGATTTTTTGTAGTCTCAGCCCTTTAATAGGGAATGCACGATCACAGATATCACATATAAATTTTGGTCCGATTGGAGAAAAATTTGCTTCCTACATTTAAGGACCACCCTAATGTACATACATAATTTTTTGAAAAATCATATTTTTACAAATACAATACGTACTTTGTTGTGTATTTGTAAACATACGGACATATGCATATAAGTATATGTTCATCATGACTCTTAATACGTACCTCTCAATCCCAGAGAGTCGGGGATGACGATATTTGCGCGACAAGAGCAGACCACCACCCCAAGCGGCCTGAAACGACATTTCCATAAAAAAAGTTAAATTTTTCCCCATTTTACAAATTTTCTTTGTTTTCACTTTGCTCAGTTATGTACATAAATATGTATGTATGTATGTATGTATTTACTTACATCAATGTGTAACCAGCAGTTGTACTTTTGGCAAATATCTGCAATCTGGTTGATGTTGTCGAAGGCACCCAATACTGTGGTACCGGCGGTGGCGTTTACGAAGAATGGAATGTGACCCTTGGCCTTTCGCTCCAATATTAAACGCTCCAATTCCGGGATGATCATCTTGCCATGCTCATCGGAGGGCACCATCACACAGTGATCTGTGCCGAGACCGCATACGGCAGCGCAAGACTTCACCGAATAGTGACATTGATCAGAGGTGAACATCACCAGTTGTCCGGGCAGGCCGGCGGCTCCGTGCTCCTTGTAGTTGGGGAACATTTTGTGACGCGCGGCCAAGAAGGCATACAAGTTGGAGATCGAACCGCCTGGTGCCAATATTGAGTCACCGCCTTCCCAGCCAATGATTTGACGCATTTTCGATAGTACCACATTCTCCATTAATATGAAAACGGGAGCAATTTCGTATGTGAACATGTTCGTATTGGCAGTTGCAGTCAACCATTCGCCAGCCATGGAGACGATATCCAATCCACATGATAGCTGATTGAAGAAGTGTGGATGTCCTGTGAAGTACAATGAGGAAAATGAGGTGAATTGTTTTCAGATAATTGTTGTGAAGAAGTTGTAATCTAGTAGTAGTTGTAATAGTCCCCAAATTTTTGCGTTAGAGAAAAGGGAATATAAAATGCATTTATTTGAATAGAAGTAATAAACCCTAGAAAAATTGTATTAACGAACGGAATCAATAACTAGGCTAAGTTGGTGGCACCGGATGTATGAAACTTTAGAAGGTTGTAGCTAAAAATATTTTGAAAAGGGTTGCCACATGTTTTAAAAGCCGAGTTAAGTTAACTTCACAAGTTATATGAAATATTAAAAAAAGGCTGTCAAACAGAAGAGTGTTAATAAATTTTTTAGTTTGAACAATAATAATTTGTTTGAGTTTTTTGAAGAGGGTTGCCATTTATTAAAAGAGTTAAATTTAAATCATTTACTACGTTAAATGAATTACTAAAGAATGGATATCAATCGTAATGGTTTTAAAATTGATTTATTTCTGATATGTGCTTAGGAGAGTTGCCATGTGTTTCAAAAACCAAATTCAATTAAATTAATCAGTTAATTGAAATATGTCTCACATTGTCAGTTGAAACAAAAATCAACCAATAAGCGAAGGCATTTTTTGTGAAGGACGTCAGATTTGCACCGCTAATTTGAATTAAAAAAAAAAATGAAATGTCAAATTAAAGAACAGGACTCATAAATGTGTAATAAGATTTTATTTTTTGAAGTTAGAACTTCTCAGCGGTACAGGGTGGTCTCAAATTTGAAGTATTGATAAACCGACACCAAGCGAGAGATGAAATCTTCAAAAAGTTATATTCAATTTTGGGCGCTTAAGCGCCATGAGGGTTCACTAGTTAGTTTTAAATTCACTCTTTATTGGCGGCGAAATATTTTAGTATACATATATTCTGAGCCTAAGCGAGCTTTTCGATTATTTCCGCTTGTCTGTCACAACGTCACTCAGCGTAATTGTTTTGATCAGCAGTTTGAGACAGACGATAGACGAGCGTCAGCGAGACTTCGACTGGCAACAGATGCGCTTGGCAGCTTTGTACATACATACATACATACATACGCATGTATGTATGTACCTCACACTCTACCCCCCACTAAAGTGAATCTGGAGAATGAACGGGCTTACTCTTGTCAAACAGAAAAGAGCAATTTTTGTTTCTATTCCATTCTGTGAAATGCGTTAAATGCAACCAAGAAGCGTAAATAATGTGCCCATCCTGTACGGCTGAGACAATAAACGGTCCAGACATCGACGAACGAGAATAAGTAAGTATTCATATTTTTATTGTATGTTTTATAAAATTGCAGGCTTTTGTGGAGCATCGGGAAGCATGCATGAGCGCAATTCAATACAGTTGCGCGCATTCTAGGCCGAGGCTACAGCCGAGACAACAAGGTCAACGCGGTACGGCCAACGGCCAACGGCCAACGGCCAACAGCCGACAGACTCCGGCACATCTGGCGTTTCCGCTTTCGTTTGATTATTTCAAATGTTAAATCGATACAGCTTCTTTATATGGAATCGCTCCTATGAACGTGTGTATGTATGTATGTAAATATATGTAGAAATCCTAAACAAAAAAAAATTATATAAAATAGCACAATTGATTGCTGACTACAAGTGAAAGTAATGCCCAGTATTTAGTGCTCCAAATACTCTGAAGCTCACACTGCACACTTGCGCTGTGTTAGTGGGTTCATAAATTGCTCATTTATTGTAGCTAATTGCGAATTACTGCACCACAGCAGCCAGCTGAGAAGCGGGCGGAATCCCCAGCAGAGCGCTGAATGAATTCGCAAACAAATAAGAAACAAATAGAAAAGTAAACAAAAATACAAATAGCAAACAAAGGATAACACTCGGCACATGAACCCATCGGTATTGAATGAACAAAGCAAGCAAACGAGAAGGAAGGGTAAAAATTGAACTTCATAGAGGGATGATGAGCCAAAGCGAACCCTTCGTCTTAGGTCTGTCTCTTCAAATGCGCCGGGTGCCATAAGTCGTGTGATTAAAAACCCATTGCCTGAAGCCCTGAAAGCTCCCGCCATTCATGCGAACCAAGCAGCGGACCAGCTGAGGCCAGCATGGAGTGTACCATTTGTCTTGACGGGATCTGTATGGTTTAACGAAGGCAAACATTTCAATTTGCACGGGGTGTCGCTGTGGCAGTGGCACAGTTGGCCAAATGCGCACAGCCACACAGCCAAATACTTTCGCCCAGTCTCTGCTGCTGGCCTCTGCGTCCTCCCGCAGCCGTCGCTAGTCATTCATTCGAGCATTCGGCCATTCATTCGCATCAAAGGATCAGCGTGCAGCGAGTCAGAAAATAACAACGGATTTTGATTAAAGCTCTCTCCTCTCCGGCACACATACGGATGTACGGACACATTGACATTGAAACACTCCCAACTCCGGGCGCATTGTCATACTGACATTTGCGTTTGCTTGATGCCAGCTATGGAGGGCGAATGCGCGCACACACAGTTGGGTTGTGTTTATGTACCTGTGTATGTATGTTTGTATGGTCGTTTGGGAGTGTGGGTTGGCATCAGAATATTATGTTGCCAATATGGAGTGCGGGGGATTACGTGGGATTATGGATCATAAATGGGATTTTTATCGCAGTTACGAAATGAAAGCAAGGGAATTCGTATGCCTGCCGTAGAGTAAGTAAGAGCTTCTGAGTGGTTAGGTGAGATTGGATGACGTGTGCATTAAAGTTAAACGTAAAAGTCATTGAAAAATAGACAAGTCAATGTCGGATTACTTTTGCGTTCGCATCGCAGTTAGAACTTTAGACTTGCAATATTTTGCGAACATTTTAGCTTTATAAAATGTGGCAAAACAGATTCGTTTCAATTAGAATGATTTCATAATTAATTTTTTACGAAACATTTTTGAATAAGTTGTTGCCTAATAAATTTTAACAATTGGTGGAAACCAGTGACGGGCATTCTTAAATTCCTGTTTTGGATACCGAATAAAAAAATACTCAGATTGGCTGACTTCTAAAGTATACATATATCAGGGATGGAAAATAGTCATTTGTTTTTAAATTTTGACCAAAAAATTAACAAATTGTAAACGTCGAAAAAATATTTTTTTAACTATACTCACGTATTTGGTGTTCGTACGTCCTACTTTAATCAATAAAGATTAAAAATCATAATTAATATTTTAGTTTTACTTTTTCGCTCAAAGACAATAATTATTATTGCCCAATAAACAATAGGCTTGGTTAACAATTCTAACGCATTTCGAGTGCATTTCCAATATACTATAGCAAACCTTGGTTATGCGTTCGTTCTCAGTTCGATTAATATTGGATATCGATGAACATTTGTGCACGTCCGCCACAATGCTTATCGGGTGAGTTTTATTTTTTCAATTAAGAATAATGACCATTCAAAAAACTCAAAAGCTATACCAGCTTTATTTCCGATGTATCCTTTTCAGAGGCAGCGACATCCTAGTAAAAGGAATAAGGGCCAAAACTTTCAGGTCAAAATTTCAGTTGGTTGCATCTGTAGGACTTTTTAAATTTTTAATAATAATCATTATTTTTAGGTCGAAAAATAAAACTCAATAATAATTAATATATCTATAATCATTATTTGCGATCAAAAAAATGGAAATCAAATAACAATAATTTCCGTTAAGCGCGAAAAAATATAAAAAATCGTAAAATAATGATTAAAGTACTTATGTTTGTATGTATTTTAGGATGAGTTGCAAAGTGAGATCCTCCGGCTCAATATCTCTATGATCTGTTATGCGTGAGTAGAATGGTGATGCAGACTCTCAATCAACATCGGGCGAAATCCGCGAGAGCCTTCGCCACAACGCCGGGTATTGCGACACTTAATATAACTTTGCACCTTTTTTGAGTTAACTGAGGCTGAGTGCTGGCTTAATCCTAACACTAGGCCCGAGCATTACACATTTTCGAATCTTTACTAATGACTCAAAAATTGGCACCGGTTCAGGATCTGGAGTTCGTATTATTTATATGGGGATAAGCTTCAATTTCTGTTGTTTCATTCTGGGTGACTGGTCCCGCGGGAGTACCAGCTAATGAGAAATTTGGCTAAAAAGGGTACAGACCAGGAACTCCATTTTTCGGAATCAGCTATCATCAGAAACTGGAAGAATATTGCGCTCAGCAAAGAGAGTGAGGCATCGTTAGGCTGCAGGTTGCCAAAATTTATGTATGTAAAAACCTGTGCCTGTTGATATTCGTACTTTTGTCATTGAAGGTTAGTGAAAATCGGGTATTCCCTTCAGTCATTTGCCAGTTTGGTAACTTTTCTGTCGCTGTACCGTTGCCGGGAGCTTTTTTCGTGCTTACTATATAAAATCTTATTTTCGGGAGTTTTATACAACGGCCGATAGTTTGCCATCACAGGTATTTGTATTTAAAAAAAATAATAGCCCCAATGTTCGTATGTTCGTACATTAGAGGGTCAATCTTCTTCAAGCGATTTTGAACACTCACTATTAGAGTATTTCAGGAGGGTAAAATAATATTTTTCGGCATCCTGTAAAACAGCTAAATCGTTGTTCTATAACTTCTTATTTCATGTCCGCTGTAAAGGTATTAAAAAAGCCTACACACTTTCCCCAGATTATACTAACGTGTCAAATTAAGAACTTATAATTTTTTTCTGAAAACGGCACCCGGTAATCAATAGTAAGAAGCTTAAAAATACACTCCTATGATGAAGATTTACTTAATAAGTATGTAACCCACTTTTCATTATCATTATAGAAGTGAACTCTTGTACAATTGCTATTGTTTAACAATAATTGGTTAACATTTTTTCTTGCAGAACAGATGAACAACTTTAGACTTTCCTTACTTAACTACATTGTATAATTTTTAGATGTCAAATGAAAAAAAATTGCAGAAAAAAGCGATTTAGCTGTTTTTACCGAAAAAAATTAATTTCTTGTAATACTCTCGTAGTGATGTTCAAA